GGTCAATGTCATTGGTTCTGATGAATGCGCTTCCGTCATAGCGCTTCCGACGTATGTGTTTGACGACTCTGTATTACTTTGGGTTTCTCTTGCGGACAAGATTGTAGACTTGTATTGTTCAGTATATTTTGACAGCTTATTTGAAGCATCAGTCGCGTTTGATTGCTCGACTCTTGTGTCACTTATCACAGTGCTGTCCGAAGTATATGTTAATATAATAGATTTTGCGCTACTAGATTCCATTAATGTAGTGCCGTGTGATGACACGGTTTCCAATACCATCGAATCTCTGGATGTAGAAAAGGAACCAGCGGCTGTTGGCTCAGAGACGGTTGAAATTCGAGAAACTATCATTGCTTCAGTAGTTTCATCATCTACGTGTGAAACGTTGTTGCTTGTGAACGATGATATAGTTTGTTGTGATATAGTGTGTCGATGAGTTTCTTCTGCGGACAAGATTGTAGACTTGTGTTGTTCAGTATATTGTGACAGCTCATCTAAAGCATCAGTCGCGTTTGATTTGACTTTTGTATCACTTATCATAGTGCTATCCCAAGTATAACTTGGTGAAATCGATTTCCCGTTATTAGATTCCATTAAAATAGTGTCGTGCGATGATATCATTGGTTCAGTTGTTTCATCACCTTTGTGTGAGACGTTGTCGCTTGTGAACGATGGTATCGTTTCGTGGTCAGAATCTCCACCCCAGATGTTTGTAGATACATTATGATTCGTCTCTTTTGAAGTTTCACCAATAGCGGCAGTGTCCATCGATTGTTCGATCAAAGTTATAACTGTACTCGTGCCAATGTAAGCATCGTTCGCCTTTGTCTGATTTGTACTTCTAATTTCAAAACCCATAGTATCAAATGAAGATATTTCTGAAGGTGGATTAAAAGAGTTAGTAAATACCGTCCTAATTGATTGTCCATCTGAGTCGGATGTCGGTTCATTGCCTTTTGAGACAGCGGTCAATGTCATTAGTTCTGATGAATGCGCTTGTGTTATAGGGTTTCCAACGTTTGTGTTTGACGAGATTCTATTACTTTGATATTCCTCTGTCAATAAGACTGTAGATTTATATTGTTCAGTATACTCTGATGGCTCGTGTGTAGCATCAGTCGAGTTTGATTGTTTGATTATTGTGTCACCTATCGTAATTCTATCCGAAGTATAATTTGGTGTAATCGATTTCCTGCTATCAGATTCCATTGTAATAGTACCAAGCGATGTCGTGGTTTCCGCGACCAACGAATGGCCGTACGCGAAAAATGGAGAAGCGGCTGCTTGATCACTGATCGCCGAGCCTTCGGTCACTGTCTCTAGTTTGTTTGTTTTTTCACGTTCATTTGAACTCTTTTTGCTTGTGTTCGCTGATAAAGATTTATTAGTAGCTTCCTCGCTTCTACGAATTATAGACACGTATTGTTTATTGTTTACGTTTATAGTTTCATGAAAAGGTTTAGTCGCAATTGTTGATTCAGCCCAAGTTTTATTTCTGCTCATTAATTCATTTTGATTGTAATTTGCCCTAATTTGAATGGCTCCTTTAGTTCTCGACGGAACAGTTTCCTGAATCTTCATATCTGTTATTGGAGTAAAAGAATAAGTAATTGCCGTTCGTTTTGTTTTTTTTTCCATTGCTATTGTCGGATTATTGCTGCCTATAACTTCGCTATGATTTGCGTGTGGTATTACTGCTTTGATATTTGTCTTTGATGGTAAAGTTTTCGTTTCAATTTCTTTTGTTGTAATATTATTAAACAGGTAGTGTTCAGTTTCTTTTGATGTTTTATTAAATGTCCCTGATGCATTCAATTTTCTGGTCATATCTAAAGTATAACTTGGCGTAGTCGATTTCTCGCTTTTACAATGCAATAACTTAGTATTGAGAAACGATATGGGATTCCTTAGTGTCGAATCTCTAAATGTGAGAAATGAGCTTGGGGCCTGTCCAGAGCCAGCTGGTACTTCGATCACTTTTTTTTGTTGAGTTGTTGCCGCTTCCTTGCCGTCTAAGTACATGATTATTGCAGTTGACTCTATTATTTGACCATGTGTTACAGTACCACTTGTGCTTTTGTTTGATGGTGCAAATTTATTATAATTACCTCTTTTCCAAAAAGTTGTTGATTCATTTTCTTTAATATGGTTAGTGGATCTATTAAAACTCTTAGTCACCGTAGATTTTTTGGCCCTTTGTCCATCTAAAGTATTACGTGGCATCATCAGTTTTGTACTCCTAGATTCCATTGCCATAGTATACATTTGTGTCACCATAGGTTGCCTAGACGGGACGAAAGAACTTGTAACTTCCGATTTAGTGCCAGGCGGTGCATTAGTCACCGCTATGGTAGCGCTTTCTCTTCTATGGTTTGTAGACCTGTATTGTTTCATCTTTCTTGATATTTCATGAAAAATTTCAGTTGCTATCGGTTGATCCGTGAAATTAAAATCCATCGTAGTGCCATCTTGAGTGTCATTAATCATCATCCAATCAATACTACCCGTATTTATTGGCACTACATAGAACAAAGACGCCGTTTTCGTTACTGTCGATTCTTTGTCTGGTGTTATTATTTCGAACAAAGTAATTGGCGGCCAAGTGTCTCTTGAATCGTCAGTTACTATCATTGAGTTTGTTTTAACATCTCCACTTCCAATAGTTGATGATACATTTACAATTACATTAGACTTATTTACATAAGGTTTTTCTCCAAATATAGTTGTGTGTTCCGTGGTTGGTAGTTTGCCAATTTCAAATATACTGGAAGTTGCTTTTGCCGCATTCAAGGTCTTACTTTTTGTCATTGTGTAGTCTGTAATGTTTGTCGTTTTAACAAATTGAGCTTCTTTTTGTTGTTGTTGTTGTTGTTGTTTTTTTTGTTTAGTTGATTCATTTATCAATATATTTATCGGAGGAGGGATTGACGGGACAGTAGTCATAAAAAATTCAGATAGGTCCGTATTTTCAAAAAAAGATGTCAAAGGATGTGGTGATGAGGTGGTTTTGCCATCTGGGCTATTAAACTGTATTGTCGGTTCTGCTATTTTCTCAAAAAATAAAGAAGCACCGTCCATTTTCGTATAAAATCCATTAAATATGCTCCGGCCATGATTTGTTAGAGAGTGAGCTGTAGTATTGCTTCTTTTTAGTGTAGTCTCGTTGTTAGCTAAAGCTGTCGCAACTGTAGCTTCCACGAACTTAGCTAACAAAGAGACTGCAAGTTTTATTACACCCAATGTAGTTTCTTCATTAGCTATAGTCGTGGCTACTGTTGTTTTGGTAATAGCCTTACTGGACTCTATTTCTTTAATTTTTAAAGATTCAGACGTTATAGCTGCACTCGAAGAATTCTTTGGCAAGGTCACGTCATTCATAAACACAGTTGTGGAAGTACTGAATGTCCCCTTTTTGGATTTTGATCTGTTCCTCCCTGAGAAAAAAGTAATGTAACTCAAGTGCTAACGCTTATAAATTTGATATGTTTAAAAACATATCTAGATACATATACTTAACATAATAAATCGTATCATCAGCAGGCCACTTTACGAATATCATGTTCTAATGATTAAATTGATTTAAAATGCGTTAATAGTTTTACTAACTTTTCAATTTAAAAACTTTTGGAAGAACAGCACCTGGTAACAAAATCATAATGTAATATAAATTCTAAATAATAATAATAATAATGCACACACTCCACACATAAATGGTTGGTGATTATAATATTATTGTTAATAACTTTATATACATATTAAAAAATTACCAAATGAAGGATCACAATGCCGGCTGGTACCATTACAAGAAAACAACCATTGTGTAATTAAGTTACTACGATCACGTTTTTCATTAAATGAACATTGTCCTGAACTCTGTAATAGAAAGTAATAAGAAAATAAGTTAACGTAACGCAAAAGAAGATATTTATTAGAACAAAATATTTATATTGTACAGCGGCATTTATAATTCCGAATAAATCTAGTCAAGTGCAAGTCGGCCCTTTGGTATTGCCCTGGGGTTTTGTTAACATTTCAAAAACTATGCAACTTGATTTGTTGCTCTTCGAAGCTGTCCAGAAAAAAAAATTTTTCAAACAAGCTCGGAAATGTTTGCATTACTTCCAAGTTCAAGTGTGTCATCTAACGAACACGCAACTCTTTGTTGGCCTAGGCCGGCAAAATAAGTATGAAAATCCATTGCTGTCCACTGCTCTAAACTTTTAAACAAAGAATAAGAAAAACTAAAAAACCTGGCATACAGCCAAATGCTCATAGCATCAGTGCCCGTGACTGCGAAAATTTGTTCACAAATGCGTAATCGCGTAACATACTCACTACAATAAATATCATAAATTTACTAGTAATTATAATAATATAATAGATAAGAATATCGACGTGTAAATTAATAAATATTATGCAAAGAGATAACGACTGTGAACTGGCAACCGGTACTATCTCAATTTTATAAAGATTTCACTTTTTAGTACCATTTTATACTATTTCATGCTCCGCAGCGTTGCAAGAAATTCCATCTTAGATACATTTAACTTTGGCGCCAAAATCGACTTCAAGTTTTATTGAAATCGGTTTCCGGAAAGTACGCAAACCAGGATAATAATAATCTCAGTACAGAGTACTAAAAAAACCGACCTCAAAAGTACATGGAATTACTTATAATTACCAAGTTTTATTGACATCGGTTACCGGAAAGTGCGCAAACCCGGATTCATCCCCTAGTTCGTCATTATACGGGATTTAACACAAGATATAATAAAACTCGGTTCTCACTACCTAAAGTATATTGAGAGAGAAAAACGCCTTGAATTGGAGAATAGAAAAATCAACCATTAAAATAATTGCTCCTTATAATAAAATTTAAGCGCTTTAATTTTTATAAAAATGGATCTTCATGCGTGAACAGCCATCCTTAGAGGTGGATGATTTTTTTCGAAATTAAATGGGACCACTCACACTGGTACCCTCTTTGAAAATCGGTTCACAAATACGGGAGTTATCGCGTAACATACATACAAAAAAAACCTAGTCGAATTTAGAAACTCCTCCTTTTTTTTGAAGTCGGTTAAAAATAAGCCTCCAAGTAAATTATAGGTCTACCGCCCAATGTACGGTAGGATAAGTAAGTAGTTTAATTTAAAAACAACTAAACGTAACACGAGTAATAGACGTTCGACTTGCAATTGACTCTCGTTGCCTATAAATATAAGAACATATTTGTTTGTTTAACTCACCAGACATGAATAAAATGTAATCAACACTGTCACTGAGAAACAAATTAAAATATGTGAATTCATTATGATGCATTAATATATAACATAAATTAAATTAAATAGTATCTCATTCATTAAACACACACACATATATATATATATATATATATATATATATATATATATATATATATAAAATCACATAATACATGTAATTCTGATTTCCATTTCTAACATGTTGATGAAAAGGACGAAACCGCAGCACAGTGTTGTTTTTCAGTCTTCGCCCATATTTTCTGTCAGACATTGTCGGACAGTTCTTAACAAATGGTCTACAACAAAGCAATAATCGTTAATGAAACTTAAATCTAACTATTTATTTACTGGTTACAAACTCGACACGTACAACGCGCTGTCTACTGGTGAAATAATAGTAGATTGTACAACAAGTGCATAAAAGTGCGTCATTTTACCCGAGACGAGTATATCACTTAAGCCGAGGGTAAAATGAGTTTCATGGAGTTATACACTCTGCTTTTCACTTCGATTGCGAGGAAATTAAACAACAATATTACAAATAAACGATTATTTAATTAAAATTGAATGTAAAATTACAATAATTAGACATATTTAATGTGATGTTTTTTTTTTTTTATGCACTAGAGCATAAAATCCTGTTTTATGCACCCAGCATAAATACGAACTTTAAGAGCATGAGAAGTGAAAAATAAATTATAATCCCCATGCAAATGGCTTTTCACATTGACATCTCCCCGTGTGGCGGCATTGCCAAACTATTCGTATTCCAAAATCGTCAGACGTAGTAGCAATATTCAGATCAAATGTAACCCACGAGTCACGCAATTTAATTAAATAACAAAACGTGAAAAGAATTCGAAAGTTTGTTTTAACAATAATTGACAAAAAATACCCAACAGTTATAAAACTACTTTCATGATAACGGCCGAAACCTTTTCTCCAAAGTCCACGTGACGAAGGAAGTTAGCGAATTTTTTTTGTAATCGTTATAAGTGTCAAGTGCAAGCTGCTGGAAGCACGTGGTTAAGAAATATACTTTTATTCAAAATAATAGGTCCTAATAATCACTGCCCGAACCTTATTTCTAAAGAAACTTAAATATTTTTCCGTGCAGAGTAGTTACTAAAAGATAAGAAGAAGTCTTGCGCTATCTTAAATAAATATATCAATAATTGGAAAAAGTTCAATGCTTACTCAACGAAATAGTACCTAAATTTGGAACCATTCTCCTCTCTACTCCATTTTTTGTTTTTTGTTTCTTCACTATTCCTGCATACTTTCACATTTTTCCACTGATGAGCCAATAGTGTTTTTCATCACAGTGTGAGAAACTTTTATCACGTAACTTTTATTTATTATTCGTGAATAACATAAAATATGACTTTATTTTATAGGTTCTCCTTATTTATTTTCTACTTTCTTGATTGAAAATTTTATAGTCTACAGTGATGTGATATTTGGTCAAATAAAAAATAAATTCGAAATATGAAGACTATTTATTTGATACTTTACAAGATTTTTTTCTTTTATACTCTATAATTCGATTATTGGTTTCCTATTGTAATTCCTTTCACAATTTTCATCATTAATTTACCGTCAATACGCACTGTCTCCTTTTTTATTATCCATGTGAACAAACCGCTCTGTGTTTTTGATTTTGTTTTTACTGTATTAAGCCCCTTATTATTATTATATTTTATTTCATTCGAGATTGGTTTTGTTCGTTTAGTTGCTTTAGTAACAGTCATTTTGCGCAACAATTTGTGTAACTTCGAAACTTCTGGAGTATGTCTTCTTCCCTTTAACTTCTTCTTAAGTACCGAGAATACTGTAGCATAATTTTTTTGTGCCTTTCTCCTAAAAACGCTTTTACTGCTGATGTTATCCGTAAAATTTATATTTAAAGTTGGACACGTTGGGGACGACATAGTAGTCGTTCCGACGAAACATTCCTTATAATATACTACTTCATAATCTAAAATACATAAATTAATAACACATAACTGATAATATTATGAATTAACATTCCTGTGTCACGTAATGGCCATGTAAAAAATTTAATCACATAGAAAAATTATATACGAATCACTCAAAGGCCTGAATTTTCTGTATCAGAATTAATTCTAAATTAAAGAAAAAAATTTCAACAAAATGTAACATCTTTAACGCACACGGGAAACCGAATATTGCCTAATATAACATTGAAAGATTTGCTAAAGCATATTTAGGAGCAGCAGCATGTAGTAGCAGGACCACACTTTACTAATAACTTATAGTTTCCTGATACTACAAATGTGACATTTTTAGCTTTACTCAGTACTTTGTTGTACTATCCCTAGTAATATAAATTAGATTCTTTACCTAGCCGATTGTCACAGTTGTATTCAAACATATCGCATTCATCGCTAAAAACTTTATATAGACTTAAGTTGTAGTTGTAACCACATTCTGGCCTCCAAGTATGATTACAGATGTCGGACATAACACACCAAGTAAGTGGCTGAAAATTAACAAAAAAATGCACTGATTTATTTAGTTTTGTTAAAAATTCCCTTCTGTATCTACAAATACATGTTATATATTTAGTAGCATAGAGCTCCTTGTGAAAGAGTTTGTCCAGAAAGGGAAACTGCCACCTTACCAATTTCTGCCGCCAAGCAGTAATGCGAGCATTACTGCGTTCCGGTTTCGAAGGTAAGGATACTGGTGAAATTACAGGGACATGGGACTTGTCAACTTACGTCTCAGGGTGACGGGCGCAGGGGCGGTTCCCCTCAGACCTTTCGGATTTATAGCTCTTGGATAGCACAGCAACTGCTTATGGACAGGCGTGTCGCTTAACACCAGGCGCACGACTTAATTTAGTCTCGTCACCTAGTATAATAAAAGAAATCGCGAGTTTCTAGCAAGTGAACAGCGTACCTACATTTACACTTCATCGCCAACATTAATAGGAAGTAAAAACAAGAAATATCTTACGAAAATAAAATGTTGTATTGACACAAGAGGCAGGCAGAGGAAAACTGTAAAATATGGTGATAATTGTGTTATAATCTAAATACTTGTAAATTTAAATTAATATAATAATCGATCTCATGTACATACTCTCTGATCTCATGACTATATAGTTAGCAATCCACATAAAAAGTCTTACCAAGATATATAATTGTACGCCAGTTATCGTCTTTTACCATTTTCCTTTAGATAATACTATAGATAATGATAGATAAAAGGTTTCTAATTTAAATAACTACTACCTACTAATACACGACACAATGCAATATGTCATTCAATAATGAAAAAGAAAAATCCGTGTGTAAATGTTATTGCTGTTAATATAAAAAATAAATTTGCAACAAATTTAAGATGTTAATGCTTCACGTGATATCGGTTTCAAAATGTTTCTCACGTGTCTGTCCCCATGCGCGAAACAAAAGCGAGCAAAACTTGTATACTTCATGATTTAAGTCTTTTTCAACAGTTTACTTCATTTTTGTACTGTTTATATAGAACTCAAAATCAAAATAAAAAAGACATGTTGTATTTACATATATTTGTAATACCGGGAATCGATAAGTATAATTGAATATAATGGAATTTTTCTCAGCGTTAGCTATAAATTAGTGGGGTAATTTCACAATAAAATATAGAATATCATGGTAGTAAAACATGTGATATTCAACAAACTTCATATTCCAAATATTTTTATTTTATTTTAATTATTTAACACATATTTCAATGTACATTATCAAAAACAATTTTAGTAACAGTAGATCTCTTTGTGAAAGAGTTCATCCAGTTCTTGCCAACTTACCTATTTCTACCGCCAAGCAACAATGTGAGCATTACTGTATTTCGGTCTTGAAGGGTAAGGGTGCTAGTGAAATTACAGACACGTGAGACTTATCAGCTTATGTCTCAAGGTGACAGGCGCAGTGGCAATGTCCCTCAGATCTTTGCTATTTAAAGCTCTGAGTAGCTCTGCTATGTACAGACGTGTCGCTTAACACCAGGCGTACTGTTGGGTCATTGAAAAATTAATATTTTTCTAAAAACCACATATTTTTCCGAATTTTTTTTCTATATTTTTCCACATTTGACAGTTGACACCCGTCTAAAGCTGTAAATACTGAACGAAAACGATGGATCCATTATAATAGTATTTTATGCAACCGTTGCATAATGAGGGTTCTTAAAGTCGAGTACCGTATTTAGGCTGCTGCTTCTTCACAACACAAGGAGTTCCAATAATTGCACGCCTCCTGCGCTTTGTACATATTTGAATTTACATCTTTGTTTGTTAAATTACCCTAAACGGTACACAATAATTTTTGTGTCAGAACTGAATAAGGTAGGTAATACAGGAAATGATTTTTAAATGAGTGGCAATTCATATAATAAGAACATACTCCAAAAGTGACTGCAACTGTAAACCCACCATGTGGTAATTTTACACGCATAGTGACACATTTAATGTTCCTTTATCATCTTTATGACTTTTAAGAACTTGCGTCCAAATTTCACAACCGTTTCTGACTTTAATACTTCTGTCTGAGCATCTACTGTAGTAACCGCAGCTGTAGCACTTTCGATTTCAGATGTAGCAGTGTAAAATGTATAAGTAGATTGATGATTTTCAGAACCTTTGCGTCTTGAGCGCCGTTTGGGGTGCGCCCGAGATATCGGTGTGCGTCGTCTATTCCACTTCCATTCCAAAAAGTCAAGGTCAACAGCTTTTAAAGCTGAAATTCACAATTTGTCTATACAGTGCTCAAGAAACGCTTCAGTGTAAAAACAACTTTTAATCATAAATGTTATTGTCATGTATGTATGTTATTACATTGTCATTCATTTACCTTTTTTGTCAGTTGTCGTCTCTTGATGTGTGTTTCTTGTAGTCCGTGTGGGTTTCTTAGGCGAGTTAATTGTGAACCCTAAAGCAGACTGCATTTTGCGCAAAATTCGATGTAGTTTCAAAATTTCTGGAGTATACCTTCTCTTTCTATTCCCAATTGAATTTGCAATTGCTTGCATTCTTCTCAAGGTAGAATTCGTATTTGGGCATTTTTTACATTTATCAGAATCATTTTTTTTTTTGAAACAATCTTCATAAGGTACTACTTCGAAATCTGAAAAGCGTTTAAAATATAAGTATGAATTACCCATTTGTGAAAAAAATCAGACTGAATGACCTTATTACCCTTGAACTTGTCACAGTTATGTTCATACATATCACAAGCATCTAGAAAAAGTCTATATTCACTCGCATTAATATAATAACCACATTCAGGTGTCCAGGAATGATTGCACACATCAGCCATCAAACACCACGACGCTGGCTGAAAATAAGCAAAATAGACAACATACCACATATTCTTGCTGTGTAACATTAATATCAATCTCTTGGTAGTGAAATTCCTTTTTATGTTTTTAATTTTTATATATCATAATACACAAAATCTTTTTTAAATGAAACTGTGTGGGGAAATCCCAAACCATAGAAGATACAAGGAAACTGTCTTAGGAACCATTAAGTCTTTTTTTGTGAAAACAATTTTGGTATAGTCAATTTTTTGGTCAAGCATGAGTTGTAGCCGCAGTCTTCTTGGGAGTGACCTTAGATAGTAAACTTCAATGGTTTCCACATATATTTTCCCTGGCCAGCAGATTAAGCTCCGCTGCATACTCAATCAGCAGAATACGTGAGCTTACCGATGTTAATACTGCTAGACTAATTTACTTTAGTTACTTCCATAGTATAATGTGCTATGGGATATTCATGTGGGGTAAAGCGGCAGATATTCAAACCATATTTGTATTGCAAAAATAAGCGATTCGTTCTGTGTACCTAGGCTCTCGGGTTTCTCTCAGAGAAAAGTTTAAGGAGACTGATATCATGACTGTAGCATCACAGTACATTTACTCAAATATTTTATATGCCCGTAAAAATATACATAATTTCAATAAGAAAGAAGATATCCATAATATTAACCTTAGACCTAAGTCCAAACTCATGAAGAAAGTTCTTTAACATAATCGTGGTTATAGTTTGCCAGACTGATCTTAAATTAAGGTACTGCCTGGAATATAGCCTGCATTACGAAATTAAACCTAAAAAGCCAGGAAACTAAGACTAAAAACAGTTTTCAAACAGTTTACTATGTTTATTGATACAAAGACCGAACAACACAACGAAAAATTTATGGATAGACTCGTACCACGTCCAAACTCATGTACCACGATTTCGTTTAACCAAGGTAAACGACTCTTTTATGGGGAACTGTATACGTTTTTACAATAAGATTCCGGAGTATATATTAAGTTTATCATTTCCTAAGTTTAAAAAGTACATTAAAAATATTTTTATCGAAAAGTCATATTACAAAATTGAAGAATACGTGTTATATAAAGATGTATGGAAAGACGACACGGGTCCAGAATGTACACAAATTTGATTGAAAGTGTATTCCATAGCATTTAAGTTTATTTGAAAAGTACAATCCCTAGAGTTTCTTGCTCGTTCTTCTCAGGGAAGTCAGCGTAGTGAACGAGCAGTAGCTTAATGTAATGTAATGTAAATATGTTTTTAAGTGTAAATTTATTTTACCTATGGAATAAATGATGAACAAATATATAAATATATGGAACAAATATAATCAACATTTACGTAGTTTTAAAAATAAGCGTCTAAATGTTATTTTCACCTTTCTAGCTCGGAAAGGCTTTCTTTCTCATCAAAAATCTTCGCGCAAAAGCGTTTTTTGCACACTGGCGTGGAACTTCGAACTTGACGATGGACTGTGATACACGTAACTTTTTCTTTCAATGAAATAAAAAGATAATGACACGTCCAACTACGGGATTTATAGTATATTACTTATTTATGTAATAAACAACGGGATTTATAGTATATTACTTATTTATGTAATAAATCCGTTGGTATCTTTTATTTTTATTATCGTTGCCATTACATTGACAATGATAACTAATTATGTTTATTAAATTATTTTAATTCATCGAAGAACTAACACACAAAATAAAAGTACGAATATATACGAATCAAAATTGATGAGGTATAATAAATTCAGAACGCATCACTTTTTCTTCTAAATAAAAAAATCTGATGTTCTATAGTCCAACTAGTTTTTTATCACTTACGATTTTCCTCGCTATAGCGACACATGAGTAAAGAAAAATGATGAAGTGAAAAGTTGTGTGTTTCACTCGGCAGCAAAGTTGTTTTACGTCTTGTGCCGTGAAACCCTCGCTACGCTCAGGAACAGTGGCGGATTTACAGTCTTGGCCGCCCTAGACCTCAGGCCGTGTAGTCAGTACCTACCAGCCGCCCCTTTCTCAGCACTCATCACATATTGGTAGACTACATAATGAATTTACTTTACTGCCAACTTTTATCGAAATCGATTCAGAAATTTAATAATTTTAATATTTTTCTAGAACATCGTTTTGATTTATCTCCGTTAGGTTCGGGGCGCAAGTCAGTAAAGCGTTAAGCCGGCACGATTTTTTCCGACATCTTCAACATTTATTTTATATTATTTATTTAAGGTTATATTTAGGCCAACTTACACAAAACCTAAATAAATTATACACTTAATCTAATTCAATCACTTTGTCTAATGGTGAACTCTATATCTATGGCGAAAACCGTCAGGTCAGTAGTTTTTGAGTTTATCGCGATCAGACAGACAGACGGACGCGGTAGTGATAATCACTACATATTATCACTACTCGGAGAGTGCGGGCGGGAAGTGGGGATTGTGACGTTGAGCAACTACCGTGCGTCCGCCGCGCTGCTCTCATCTATCACTCACGCGATAATATAGGTTTCGATGGAATAAATCCCTATAGAAATATAGGCATTTATTTAAGGTATAAAAAACCGTGAGAAACCCAATGAACATGTTTGACTTTTGTCTCCACTGAAATCTGCCGCCCCTAAGACGCTGCCGCCCCTAGGCCGCGGCCTATACGGCCTATTTATAAATCCAGGACTGATTTGATCCATAGATTTCTTTTATTTTGTCTCAGAGGACGACGATCAATCATTAAAAAAGATGAACGTTTAGATTTTTTGCCTGCTGCTTTTGCAAATTTAAAATGATCATTTCAATACATGCCTATTATTATTATTAAACCATTTATTTCGAGTAACCTTTACGACTCATATTTGAGTCAGTAAATAGTAGTTAATTTTAAATAATTGATTTGTATGTAGTGCACACGCAATCATATTTAAGATGATGTTGGAATTCGAACCTACTCATCAGAGACGCGGCGCGCTTGCTGTGGAAGCCGTCCACGCGCGTTTCGCACAACATGTCCGATGTGCTACAGCGGCGGGGCAGACCCAGCACCACCCAGAAGGCGTTATTGTACTGGGCACGGAAAGCTTCATATGCGCAAACTGCGCAACGATTATGATTAGCACATAGAGTGCACGTACAAAGTTTGGTGCAGAACGATGTCACTTAATGTTATTGAGATGTCACGTATGTTCTAAGCATGTAAAAATTTTAATAGCCTTTGTGACTCTATATTTTCGGTAAATTATCGCTGTTGTCAATTTAAAGCATACATTCTGCCTCTTTATGACATTTACCAAAAAGGTGTGTATGTAACACGTAATGATGTGGTCAACGGTATAATTCTGCGATCTCAGCTTAAACCAAAAAGTAAACAAATTTTTCAAGCAAATAATGCTGAGCGTTTGAATCGAAACACAGAGGAAAAGACGTGACTAAAAGGTAAAATTTAGCAGTAGAGCTCCTTGTGAAAGAGTTCATCCAGGGAAGTACTGCCACGTTATCTATTTTTGCAGCTCAGCAGTAATGTCAGCATTAATGTGTCCCGGTTTTGAAGGGTAAGGGTGCTGGTAAGTGGCAATCCCCCCCCCCCCCCCCCCATCTTTGCGATTTAAAGCTCTGAGTGGCACTGCAACTGATATGGACAGGTGTGTAGCTTACCATCAGGCGCACGACTTGTTCGTCCCGCCACTTGATATTATAAAAAAAAAAAGAAGAATATGAACATCCATATATATTGTTAATACTGGAAATATCACGAATACAATTGAACACAGAATACGGTTCATAACTTATATTGGAAGCACTCTTTTGCGTTTTATGTCAATTTACGTAAGATCCCAAAATAAATATGAATCTTCAAAGCGCAAAAGAACTCAACTCCGGCGAGGATTTATCACAACTGAAAAAAAATTCAAAACCATATTCGCAACACCATTTTGATATTGTTATCAGACTTCGAAATTGCATGAAGGTGGACAAAGTAGGAAGTCAACTTAGGACATTCAAAGAAAATGTGATCAAGGGTACCCTTATCCAAACGACATTCACACAAGGAGCTGTCCCCGACACGAATTTTGTAAAGGATCATAGGCGAGGAGTGACCTAATCTCAGTCTGCAGATCATTTGTTTTGTACAGTTTGTTTGTTGTTTTACTAGCTAGTCTTAACCCAGAGCGCATACCAGTCCAAATCTAAACGATCCTTAGCCAAATGAGTCAACACTTGTATAATGAGAGACAACCCGTGCATCCCGCACTGGTTGTCTCTCTCTTGTTGTTGCATACTTGGCGATGGCGTAATAATGTACTGTCTCGTTCCCTCGGATACCAATGTGACTGGGTATCCAAGCCAACGAGACTTTGACATTTCTAACAGAAAGTCAGTTTCTGTTAGAGATCTGTTTATTTTTAAAATAAATTTATATTTATAAATATTTTTAAATTAATTTTGCTACGAATTTCATTGGATAGAATAGCAAGAAAGAAACACTTTGAATCTGAAAAAATTACACACTTGTAAGGACTCTGAGAGTCAATATAATTCAATGCCTCCGAGATTGCAAACGCCTCCCCCGTGAAAACAGAAGACAATGATGGCAACTTGTAACTAAAAATTATTTTAAAGTCAGGAATCCACACGGCCGCTCCAACGCAACTCTGGTCAAAAAGTAAGCTTCCGTATAAATAGAAGTCCAGTTAGGCCAGTATTTGACCATAGCATGATTTAAGTCTA